CTTATGCACACTAGTCGCCATCAACGCACATACGACGTCCTTTCGACGTGTAGTGAACGCGCGTTTGTCAAGCGTTTGTATCGTCTAAAGTGATTGCGTTAGATTAGCATTTTTACATTTATCAACTTGGTATATTATGCCCAGACGATATGCGCTCATTAAACGCGGGTCGTCGGCGCGTTTATTAAACGTGGTGAAAATAGATCCTAACCCCGCCCGTGAACTAAACCACGTACGCAGCGTCAATTTAAATACAACACTGTGCACTTTGCTACCGACGACCAACTGGTCTTGGTACACGTGTTTAAAAGTCACGGCAACACGTGGCAGTTAATTCTAACCGCGTCCGCAGTTAGACGCGCGACCATATATGTATATACTTACTGCACTAAAACAGATTTGGAGCCACCACAACTATCGGCCGATAGTTCAGTACAATCAGTAATTTTTCACGTGTACTTATCTATACATATAATAAAATTCTGAGTCGAATCTATACATTAAATATTTTTTGGAAAATCTTATTGAAATAGACATTATTATCGATACAGAAGCCGAATCTATAGTTTTTAGAATTTTTGTCTGTCTGTCTGTCTGTTACCGTATCACGGAAAAACCACTTTTGATGAAATTTGGTATGATGGTAGCTGGCTATCAACATATAGGATACTTTTTACTGCGAGAAAATATCTCTGAGAAATCTATACTAAACGTTAAAACGTAAGTAGGTACGAACCCGAGCGGAGGGAGGTTAGTCGCTAGTAATAAATATATTAGTCAGCTGACAGTGTGGTAGCCCCTCAAACTTTCATAAATTTTCATACATGCAATTTAAAACAATAATAGTAATTTATTGTACACATTACTGATTGTTCTCTCTTTTTCTTTTTTCGGCAAAGCATATAATATAATAATAGCTAGGACGTCGTCCATGTTTGCTTGTTTGCCACTGATTGTCGCTGGTCGTCAGATCTGTTCTTGGTATCTTGAGGTTGAACTTTTCCTTCCCTAGTTCCCTAGTTCCTTTCCCTAGTTACCAACAAAGTATACACCACCCTGCAGTTCTAGGCACTGCATGCTGATGACATCTGCTCTACTTTTAAATATGTCGTCAAATGAGGATTTTAGGTTAGAGTTAATTAACAAAATGACGTTTTGTTATTTCTTTTAGAAACTCATTCGGTGTGCAATGTGCATAGATAATCTGTATTTTTTACTTAATCCTATTATCCGTTATGCTTTTGCTCATAAAGGGCATCAGTAAAGTAATACAACCAAAATTATTTTTTTGTATCTAAATAAACTAGCGCTATTTAGCATTTGCACATGTTTAAGCGTGTTATAGTCTAATACTTTCTTAGATTTACGCGAATACTTGACGTTTTAATTGAAACTATCTTTTCCGATTTTTTCAATTTTTGTATTGATTTTGTTAATTGTGGGTAGGCTGTCTGTAACAACTATATAATACCTTAGAGACATCTAACACCTCAGTCTCTCCCGTGACTATGATTGCTGTAAAGCATTCGAAACGTCGGGAATCAAAAATCAAAATAAATTCGCGAAAAAATCGTGTTATAGTCATGTAACAGTCTATATTAATATAGCATTTTTATTTGGAAAACTTTAAGTTGGTTAAATGTTAAGAAGCAATTAAACGTAGATATATACATACGTATTAAGCACATATAATATAAGGTAGGCACATAATAAGTGAACTACAGATAGTAGTTATCGCATTAGATTTCTTTCGTAATCAGAGTTATAAGCGTAAAATATCGTTATTTATTACTATCACATTTTTTGGGTAAAACAAACAAGGGATACGCATTGAGTGAATAGTGATTGAGTGAATATAAAAAATATAAAATATAGTTTTTGTAGAGTTGTAAAGTTCCCCAAACAATGTATACTTATCGACGTGAACATTCCATATTACCTTGTTGCAACATTATTAAGAAAATCAATCAATTAGGTATACCTTATTATAATCCTTATATACCTTCTGTATTTCAAAGAAAGTGTGATTTTCACGTTGTTTTCATACATTCTGAATAAATAAAATATAAATATTCCTTTGTAATATACCATAGATGCATATTGAATATTTATCCAAGCTGAAGGATCGTGTGCTAGCCATTTTCTATTGGTCGCGTGCCCCATTGTGTAACCGTCGGACGTGCAGCCGTTCAATACCCCGCGTCTAAAAACAAGCGGACATAAACAAACATTGCAGCTACTTGCATACCTACAAATATACGTGTAATTGTCGTCAGTTGAAAATCTATATTCATAATGTACACAACAAAAGTAGAGTGAAAGAATTTTGCTAATACCATTCATTTTAAATGTCTGCTTTATTGTCACAAAAATTCTGTTCCGTAATCTATACATGTAATAAAATTATTCTGAGTCGAATCTATAATTAAATATTTTTTGGAAAATCTTATCGAAATAGTCATTATTATCGATACAGAGGCCGAATCTATAGTTTTTAGAATGTATCTCTGTCTGTCTGAGAACTCAACACGAGAAAACTACTGGACAGATTTTGATGAAATTTTGTATGGGCTGGGCCAACATGTAGGATACTTTTTACTGATCACATCATCTCTCATACATCTCTCATACATCTCTGAGAAATCTATACTAAACGTTAAAACACAACTAGGGACGACGGGGTGAGTCGCTTGTCGATAATAATTGTTATTTTGATAAAGAATCGGTTATTAAAAAAAGAACTACTAACGTAAGCATTTGTTTCTTTTTGAGAAGCGGAACGTTTATTAAGTTTATTTTCCCGGAAATAGATTTACGAAATGTAATAAAAATACTTTTAATCGATTTCTGTTATATTAATTACAAGCTCTTTGCCTGTCTCGCCACGTACCGTACCTACATTTTTAAGTCATTTTTGTAGATAGAAATATGGCAATTGATCTTTAACTTTCTACTTAAGAGCCTCTGATAAATCCCAATAAAAACATTGTTTGTGTATATAGATAGAGTTACTTGTAAACAATATTTTTGGGGCGTTAAATTAATAAAAAAGTAGCCACAGGAAACCTTCTGCACGTAGTAAATAAACAGATTTCCATAATCGCTTGATTAAACGTAGAATGTTTAATAGGTACCTATTATAGTCTATACTAATATTATAAAGAGGAAAGATTTAATTTGTTTGTTTGTATGTTGTAAACTAATGGACCGATTTAGATGAAATTTGTTTATATATAATTTTCTACACATTGCTACTATTTTCTCATCAATATTGATTATTGACTTACGTTTATCAAAATAAAATGTTAATTATTAAACCCATTAAGATATAAATGTTAATAAAACAATATTGTTCTAAAACAAATCTTTATATAGCTTAATTAGGTTAGGTTATTCAACCCGCGTCGTATTTTGGGACAACCTCGTTAGGAAACACATCGGGTGACCATTTATGTCTGTCGCATCCGTCCATTTAAATTCGGATGGGCCTAACTTCACGTATATCGGTAGACCTTTGAAGGCTAATATTAATTTTCTACACGTGTGCAATGGATTTTTAAAGGAATGATAACATTTGTTTCGGGCTAAAAATGTGAGTTGTGTAACATATGACATATCCAATTGACTCGGAAGATTTTTTTTTTACTTTTACTGCTATGGATGATACATTGTACATGCGTACGCGCAGCCCTCGCTATTCCCAGACTGCGCGGCGAGCACTGCTCTTCCGGCTGCATATTGAATTATAGCTCGAGTTAAATAATACCCTGTCGCTCTCTTTGATATAGTGCATGTTGCGTATTTCTTTTACATTGTTTTAGTTTTAATAGTAAAAAGGCTTTTCAAACAACGTGTATTTTGTGTACACCTTCTAAAGGTATAATGCGTATTCTCATGATATACATACATGCTAGCGTTGCTTTTCTTTAAAAATATTCATAAGGAAATATTATTAGCTTTCCTGAAACTATGTATGTATTATGATATTAATAATGTGTTGCGTGTGTGTGAAAGTGACATTTTTATAATCTAATAGTATGTTTGTCCGTTTACCTTTAACTTTACAACTGTTGATTTTGTACTAACTTAAGTTTTATATAAAATTATTCTTCAATTTATTATGACCATTGCTACCATTATATCAGATAAGCTGCGTCTTGGCGTAGCCATCTTATTGTTAAGAGCATTATTACTGTTCAATTGCGTAAGTCTTGCAATTTGCATTCGGTAGCGGCACACATCTTATCTAGGAGACTTATCAGTACTCATAACGACTACTTATAAGTTGTCATTAGAATACCATCTTGAATAAAAATATAGTTTTTAATAATTAAAAAACAAAAAATATATTAGTAAGTATGTTAAATTTTAAAACGATGTTTTTATTGATATAAATTATAAAGCCTAAAAAAGAAAGAATTTAGGTACATTAAAAAAAAATAAAAACTTCCTTGCATAGTCAAATCGAAAATTATATTTTTAAGTCGGAAACTCGAAAAAAAAATGTTTTTAATGTCTATAACACTGAGCTCGAAAGCAACAAGCTGACAAGGACATATGGATTTTATTTGGATTTTCTAGCCTATTTTAAAATATTGTTAGTGTCTATCAAAATAGACATGTACATATACAACTTTAACTTAGATGTATCTAATGTTGACACTTGACGCTAAGCGTAGGTACATAGCGTGCTAAATCATAATGTCGGCGAGCTATAATGATAAATTTCCCTTTTACTGTTTTTTTATCTCTTATACTATTTACAGGTAGTTCAATTTACCGGACTGAAATTCCATATTTACTCCTTTTCATTTCTTCTAATTTACACAATATTCATTACGTAAAAGTAAAAACAGCAGATAGGTAATAGAACAGATATCAAGGATCAAATATTATTAAAATGATTGTGTATGAATAATATTGTATAAGAAGTACTATAAAGTCGCTCAAAATCTCTAAAACATTAGATGAGTACAACTAAAAGGAAACATAATTTTCAGAATCCGCCCACAAACACCAGCGGAAGTGGTGGAAGGATGCGGTATATGCGCACGCGCAGGCGGCGCGGCGGGCGAGGGCGGTGTGGCGCTCGGCTCGGAGCGTGCCTTCACCTTCGACTACGCCTTTGAGCCCGCGGCACACCAGCAGGAAGTGTATGATACATGCGTGAGGAAACTAGTGGAGGCGGCCCTCGACGGATACAATGCGACCGTACTAGCATATGGACAGGTTTGTACCAGTTTTTTTCGAAATCATCTGTGCCTCTGAATGTACCAATTATTGTTATGGTATGACAAGTTTAATTATAACGAATATTCTGACTACAATTTAAAGTATTGTACTTTAAGCGGAAAATCATTAGCCTTCGAAAAAGTTAATTTGAGCATCCACTAACTGCAGGTGTACGACAGCTGCATTTTATTGTTTGTAATAAAACACTTTAATTGAGCTAAATTGTAGGTGCAATAAGCATTCAGTTGATATATTCTTTTTATCTTAATGTATGTTAAGTTTAAATTTATTGTTTCTGCCGATTTTTGTCTACCGATGATATGATATGATTGCTGCAAATTAGGACAAGCATCTTGCGAATATGATGTGGGTGGCGTAAATTGGGTCTTAAATGGCTTTGTTCTCGACAATCTAGTGACGACCTCTGGCTTAGTCTACTTACAGTACGCAGAATGCAATAATATTGGGATATGGCAGACGGTGATAAGTCCTTGTTGAAAATATAATATAGTACCACTAATGATTCAGATATATTTGATACTTGCTGAACTGACAGACTTTGTTCTGTCAAATCAAATATGTGACAGGCCCGATTCGAAAAATTGTGTTTTTACGTTTTTCCGTGATTTTTTTCCAATTTTTCTCTTCATAAGAACCTTCCTTGGACTTCAACGAATATTAGAAAATAAGAATTAGCCGAATTGGTTCAGTTGTTCTCGAGTTTTGCGCTTAACAACACATTTAGCATAAGCAATATCAATCTAAGATACAAAAACATATGTAATATCCCATACAGTAATTAAAATATGTACAAGTTATCAAACAAAATATCACTAAGTACATGTCTGTTGAACTCATTCGACTCGTGTTGCTCAACCCCATTCCCATACGATTGTTTGAATCGCAACCGGCGTCGACCAAATGAAAGCCTTTGCCAGTACCCCTCACTTTTCATTCACTTAAGTTATTACCCTATTGCATTTTGTTATATAAAAGGCAATGAAATGTAAAGTAACTTATGTCAGTTATATATAACACGGTATGTTAAATACAGTATGATACAGAAATACAGTTTTTTTTTTCAAATTCCTACGAAGCAGGTTCTTTAGTATAATATTTCGAATTTAAATTAAGTTACATATCACTTTATATGTTAATTTTTTTTAATAACATAAGAGTTTCGACCGTTTAAACGTGTCTTTTGCTAGGTTAACTACGTCAATGAATAAGAAATCTTACGTACTAAAAACATCAATAAACAAAGAATTAATCTATCTATATAAATAAAAATGAATCACCGAAAGGTATGTACGCGCATACTCGCTCCGTTCGGGTTCGTCCCTAGTTACGTTTTAATGTTTAATATAGATTTCTCAGAGATTTTGATTTTCCACAGTAAAAAGTACCCTATATGTTGACGCGGATAACCAGCTATCGTCATATCAAATTTCATGAAAATCTGTCCAGTGGTTTTCTCGTGATGCATTAACAAGACACACAAAAATTCTAAAAACTTCAGATTCGGCTTCTGTATCGTTAATTAATAACAATTTCAATAAGATTTTCCAAAAAATATATATACAGATTCTATTCAGTAAGAATTTTATTATATTATGAATAGATAAACATTGACTCTTAATAAAACCAATATTGCATCCTGTACTAATAACCGTAGCTTAAAAAAGAATAAGATTTTTTTTTAACTTTTTACTGTCTACAATATCAGACTGTATTCCAACAATTTACATATTCATACTATAATATTATAACTGTGAAAGTGTGTTTGTATGTTCTTCTTTCACGTCGAAACTTTTGGTGTGATTTTTTGTGTGGAGATAGTTAGAGGGCTGGAGAGTATCTAATTCCCACGGGAAAACACGTTATAATATAATCCAAAAAAATATTTATGATCAGAATAACTTGAATCTTGGTAATATTGCTCTTCAATAAAATTAAATATATACGTATTTTAGCATTTTTTGAAATTCATCCTATAAGGGGGTAAAATAGGGGATGAAAGTTTGTATGAAAGTACCTTTTTAGAGATTTTTTTTGTAGTTTTAGCGCGAGCGAAGCTGCTGGTTTTGCTAGCTTTCCATATTTGCTATAATGTCGGCTTATATGACGCGGCGTGAGACACGCAACCGGCGCCGTCATTAAGCGAACCCAAGCCGTGGTGCCACCTTACCTTCTATTATGCTATATGGGGTTGTAGAACTAAGTATTGTCGCTATGCAAAATATTACCATTATTACTGTTTATTTAAAGTTGCCGTAATTATATTATTAACAATTTATCTACATAAAAATTAAATGCTGTCCGTTTGTAAACGTCTCATTTCGGATCGGCTGGACTGGATAGCTAATTTATATTTTAAAATGTTCTCAATATTACGGAAAAGGTTTTTAAGGATATGAACGTTTTTTTTCTAAAGAACTTTTGTAAGAAATAAGAACTCAGAGATCACAAACTTTATTGAAAGGACAGAATGAAGTTAATCGGGTCAGCTAATCTACACTAATATTATACAGAGGTAAAGTTTGTAAGTTTGTATATAGGAATTAATCTCTGAAGTTAATCACCTGATTCTGAAAATTCTTTCAACTGCTATTGAAAAAAAATCAAAATTAGATAAGTAGCTTTATTACTTAAATAAACGGGCCATTTTTTTATTCCGAAAAAATGTGTTTATTGTCAGTTTTTTTAATGGTAAACCTATGTAGAGACTGGAGATCGTATCGCTTGGCTCTATCAACACTATTCCCTGAAATTATATGTTATTAATAAAACAATTTAACAAGACTGGTATATTTTATTTATCAAGAACTATTTAGATGTTTACAAATAATAATAGAAATAAGTTATTCACCTTAAATAAAACATGTATTTAAAACTCAAAATTGACAGTTTGTCTTTTTACTAGATATTTATAGAAGTAATTGTTAAAATGTTAAAACGTACATATTAATTAATATATTTTTATTAATTCTATCTCTATATTAGTGGTCTTCTTTCTGCATGACAAATCTTCTTCTTCTTAAAGTTTTAATAAGGAATGTTAGCAATTCCAATTTTTATACTGAACTCAGAAAATCGTAACACTACACTAAAGCAAATTCTTTAGTGAAATAACGTGTACATTAATAGTTCCTATGGAACTTGATTGATTGGCTTTGATTTAATTACAAATAGATTGTAATTGTGCATTTTAAATAAGATTGCCTTTGATGGAAAAATTGCAACACACCTTACATAAAAACAGGTTATAAGCTCCATAAAAATGTTTGTTCGTAATACCTTTAGTAATGCATATTTAATTATGATAATAGAATCATTTACGTTATTGCATTATTTAATAGGTAAATTTTAGATATTTCATAAAATGTGTATTGAATCGCACATCACTCGCTTTGCGTTTAAACTTTATAATGCCTCCACACCCCTCACGATACAGATTTGGTACAAACTTTTGTCGTACAGACATCTTTCACGCAAATATATACGAGTATGTCGGTATTTTTTATTCTGATTATATTTTTGACTCCAAATAATACGCAGGCATACATGAATGATACTTTCAATCTTCATACATAGTTCCGACTTTTTTATACATGCCCTCCGACTTTTCCGATACACCGACATTTGTCTGTGTTGCTTTATTGTACAGACCAAATTCTATAGAAATCTACAAGTCTGTACCAAGTCTGAATCGTGTGGACGGATCATTATTTATTTATTTATTTTTGGGAAACAAACAGTGACAAAATTCTTAAAATTAATTAAAAAACTAAAAAGTCCACACACCAGCAAAGTTTCCACCTATAAATATGTCACAGGTATATTAGAGAGACTATCCGTTACGTTATACGTATGTATGTTTCAATTGGGATGGACACCTCAAATAGCAATTTAAATCATAATCATATATCAAATCGCAATAAATCTTCACTAACACCCGATGTTTTTTTTTCCTATTCGTCTCACAATTGGAAACGAGTGTATTGTGAGTAAGATTGACGTAACTGCATCATTCAAAGTAACTCAAGCTGCTGAATAAAGATGAGGCGAAAGATATTGAGAACCACATAATGCAGCATCTCGTATAAAATAAGAGCAAACTTGATTACCAAGGCCTTTCAATATTTAAAATAAGATTATTTTCTATTACTTAGGGATTTGATAGAAAATTAACTTAAATATATACAAAATAAACTATTTTGATTCCGACACAATATATCTATTTATGAATTTCACTAGAAAACTTGAGATTATTATGTGAGAGCTATTCGTAGTCATGCGCCTTGCCGATTGCTTGTGTACGCAAAAGTACACACTAAGCAGAACCGCTGATTAGTACTGCAGTACTACAGTTAAATAAAGTTCAGCGCAGAATGCGGAATTCTGAAGCCGTCATCTTATTTGCTAGCCACTCGAAGAAAGACATTCTACCGGTCGTTTACGCTTTCTATTTACTGAAATATTGTCTACGCTTTCAGATTTAATATAAGTTTGAATAATAATATAGCTAAAAAGTACATTAGCTTATCATGACCCAAATTGTGTCAGTAAAAAGATGACCGTTTATGTATAATAACAATAAAATATTCTTTAGAAAATCAATATCATTCAAATATTTATACCTTTATTTTGGGTTTTACCCTATGATATTATAGAATAATTCAGTAACTTTACCAGTTCTTTACTAAGTAATTAAAGTATAATTAGTAAAACAACAGGTGTTTAATTTTAGGCAATTAGGAATTCTATCCACCCCTGCATAGTTACAATGAACGTGTACACGTCAAGCAGAAGAGCTTCAGGCTAAGTCACATCGAATAAGGATCAGCTCACTGAGTGGTAGAATGCGGAATATAACAAACGCCACATTAGTCACGTTACTGCCAGGGTTCCTTGCTTTGTCACTTTGTTCTACGATCTATTCATGTATAATATTATATATATATATATATATATATATATATATATATATATATATG